AAAAAAGGGTTATAGCTAATAAGCCAACAAAGAAGCTCATTTTAAAATATATATATACTCAATCCAAAAAAAAAGAAAAAACAGCCGAAACCGGTTTGGCTCAGTAGTAGAGCCTCGGTCTGGGGACTGAAAGGTCCCAGGTTCAATTCCGGTCAGGGGCATGTACATTGGTTGCAGGCACATCCCCAGTAGGGGGTATGCAAGAGGCAGCTGGTCGATGTTTCTCTCTCATTGACGTTTCTGGCTCTCTATCCCTCTCTCCTCCTCTCTGTAAAAAAATCAATAAAATATATATTTTTTTTAAAAAGAACAAAAAACAGAGACAAATAAAAAAACAAATAGCAAGATGATAGACTCTACCATATCAATAGTCAATAATCTATCATTTCTGTATCAATATTACAGAACGGTTTCAAAAAAGTACTCTTCACATAGATTTACCAACTTTTTTTAAATACCAGTTTTTATTGTGGTTTTGTTTGTTTGTTTGTTTTAGATACAGAGAGGAAGGGAGAGAGAAAGAAAAACATCGATTTGTTGTCCCATCTATTCATGCATTTTTTGGTTGCTTCTTGTATGTGCCCTGACCAGGGATTGAAACCGCAAGCTTGGCATATCAGTTCGGTGCTCTAACCAACTGAGCTACCCAGCTAAGGTAGATTCACCAACTTTTAATGTTACTCCACATTCATTTTTCACTCTATATACATATTTTTCTAAACCTTTTAAGAACATATTGCAGATATCATGCCTTTTAATATCTATACACTTCTGTGTGTATTTCCTAAGAGCAAAGCTATTGTCCTACATAACCACAGCCACGTTGTCCAAATCAGAAAATTTAACTATGATGCAATACTCATCAAAAAATAGTACATTTCCCAATCTCATCCGTTGCCCCAGGAGTGTTCTTTTTTTTTTTTTTTTTTTTTTTTTATATATATAATTGATTTTACACAGAGAAGAACTGAGAGGGACAGAGAGTTAGAAACATCGATGAGAGAGAAACATCGACCAGCTGCCTCTTGCACACCCCCAACTGGGGATGTGCCCGCAACCAAGGCACATGCCCTTGACCGGAATCGAACCCGGGACCTTTAAGCCCGCAGGCCGACGCTCTATCCACTGAGCCAAACCGGTCCCGGCCCAGTAGTGTTCTTTAGAGCTAACTTTCGCAGCCCAGGATCGAGCCCAGGATCACACACAGCATTTAGGAGCCACAGCTCTCTCCTGTGGAACTCTTCCTCAGCCATCGTATGTCTTTCATGACCCTGACATTAGTCAAGAGTACAGGCCATGCAGACTGAAAGGTCCCAGGTTCGATTCCGGTCAAGGGCATGTACCTTGGTTGCGGGCACATCCTCAATAGGGGGTATGCAAGAGGCAGCTGACCGATGATTCTCTCTCATTGATATTTCTAGCTTTCTATCCCTCTCCCTTCCTCTCTGTAAAAAATCAATAAAATAAAAAAAAATGAAAAGAGTACAGGCCAGTTAGGTGATCTTTGTGGTTATTGTTCACTTTTTTGTTTGTTTGCAGAATGTCTCTCAATTTTGTGATTCTCTAAAAAAAATTTTTTTTTACTCTAAATCAGATCACAAGGGCTTTGGCCGGGTAGCTCAGTTGATTAGAGCGTTGCCTAATAGGCCAAGGTTTCATGTTTGATCCCAAGTCAGGGCACAAACAAGAAACCACCAATGAGTGCATAAATAAATAAGTGGAACAACAGATCGATTTCTCTCTCTCCCTGAGAGAACTAGTGCTTTTAAACAAAAATTTTTTTTAAAAAGTTTAAACTCTTAAAACCCATACAAAGACGCCCAGCCCTCCCATTACCACCAAGGCCATGTGTGGGTGGGACAGCCTTGTACATTCACATTCACCTTTCTCAGACAAGGACGCCTCTTCTTGGGTGTCTATGGTATTCATTTCACCTGTTTAAAAATACTGGGGACAGGGCCACCAAACAGGGTCCCCCCATAACTTACTTCCGGGATACCTCAATTTCATTTATTTAAATCTTGGGAATCAGCAGAATAAGCAGGAGTAACTGCTAGCACAGGGGGCCAGGCACTGTAGTGAGCACTGGACATGCATGTTATTTCATGCTCACAGTAAAGACAAACACTATGACCGTCCAGATTGTAGAGAGAGGAACTGGGGCCAAAGAAGTGGAATAACTGATTTAAAATCAGAAAACGAGGAGGAGGCAGTGTATAGATTTAAATCCCACCTCCTGGACTCTGGGGTCTCAGCTTTTAGTGCTCTGCTCTATTAGGCTACATGGCCTCTCAGAAGAGAGGGTGCTGGTTGCGATTTCTGAGAATCTTGGCTTTCTCTGGGATTAGATCCTTCAATGGGTCTATGCACAAAAGAGGAGGACATCCTCCTGAAGACCAGGGTTCGCTTCCAGTGAGAACCAGGGCTTCAGAGTCTTAACCTATTAGAGCCAGAGAAGGCCCTCACTCTACAGGTGCACACAGAGAAGCCCAGAGAGGGCAGTGACAGGTGCAGGACTCACAGCTAGGAAGTAGTCCCTTGATTCCAAGTCCAGGAAGTCACCCACCGAACCAATGTCTCCGGAGTGAGAGACGTTTTGTCTGCTGTTGTATGAGAGATGATCTTAGAGGCACACAGTGAAATCTTCAAAATAATGTGGATGTTCTTAAATAATAAGAAAAATATTCCTGCACAGCCAGAGTGGCTTAGTGGCTGAGAGTCGACCTATGAACCAGGAGGTCACAGTTCGATTCCCAGTCAGGGCACATGCCTGGGGTGCGGGCTTGATCCCCAATGGGGAATGTGCAGGAGGCAGCCAATCGATGTTTCTCTCTCATCACTGATGTTTCTCTCTCTCTTTCCCACTCCCTTCACCTCTGAAATCAATAAAAATTTTTTTTTAAAGAAAAATATTCCCTTCACCTCTTTTCTCAGATTAGCCTCTAAGATAGGGGTGTCGAACTCAATCAGAGAAGGGGCCAAAATCTAAAATCCAGCCTAAATCGCGGGCCGAATGGTTTACTGAACAGTCATAAACTGTCATTGTGATGGAAACGCAGCGGAGTGCAGTGATGACAGCGCGGTGCGGGCCACACTGCAAGGCCTGGCGGGACGGATTTGGCCCGCGGGCCTTGTGTTTGACACATGTGCTCTAAGAGATACATGTTTTCCAAAAGTTTCAATTTAAACATATGCATTTAAAGTAAAATTTGGTCAATTTAAAGAAAAAATTTTAATGAATATGTTATCACTTGCTGTAGTACAAAGTAACCTCAAAAATCATTTCAACTGAAGCCGGTTTGGCTCAGTGGATAGAGCACATGTGTCAAACACAAGGCCCGCGGGCCAAATCCGTCCCGCCAGGCCTTGCAGTGTGGCCCGCACCGCGCTGTCATCACTGCACTCCGCTGCGTTTCCATCACAATGACAGTTTATGACTGTTCAGTAAACCATTCGGCCCGCGATTTAGGCTGGATTTTAGATTTTGGCCCCTTCTCTGATTGAGTTCGACACCCCTAGGATAGAGCATCGGCCTGCAGACTGGGGGGTCCCAGGTTCGATTCTGGTCAGGGTCATGTACCTTGGTAAGGGGGTGTGCAGGAGGCGGCTGGTCGATGTTTCTCTCTCACTGATGTTTCTAACTCTGTCTCTCCCCCTTCCTCTCTGTAAAAAATCAATAAAATATATTTTTTTAAAATCATTTCAATTAGAGTAAAACAAACATGTTACTTCCTAACCACTTTTAAAGCAAATGACTCAATAAACAAAACTAAGACTTTAAAGCATATGACTCTCATCGGGTGTGCTCATGTGCCAGAAACCTATCAAAATGATTGAGGGTCAGCTCCATACTCCATGACTTCCTCTCTTTATATCCCACTTCCCACCCTTACCTCTCAGAAGACCCCAGGCAGACAATCATGCCACTGTAGGACTCTAACATGAGGCCATTGCAATGGCAGAGGAAACAGGCCAATGTCACAAGATCACACTGTGAGTGGTTTGCATGAGTGGAAGAGGTATGCCGCCCCCTGGTGGACACTGTGGAAATTTGTGCAAGTGGCTTTTTGTGTGGGCGCTTACATATGTATAAGTAAGCCTGATATTCAATTGTTAGTATTTCCTTTTGTATTATATGTAATTATATGTAAGCATATCTAGATAGGTAGATAGATAGATAGATAGATAGATAGATAGATAGATAGATAGATAGATAGACAGGTAGATAGACAGATAGATAGATAAATATCTAAGATAGATAAGATATAGATATACACTACCTTTGAATTTCACTTCAGGATAGTAAAGGGGAAGTTACAAAAACTTGTAATAGAAAGGGGTTTTGGCCGAAGTTTGACTCAGTGGTAGAGCGTCAGTCTGAGGACTGAAAGGTCCTGGGTTCGATTCCGGTCGGGGGCATGTGCATTGGTTGTGGGCACATCCCGGTGGGGGGTGTGTAGGAGGCAGCTGGTCGATGTTTCTCTCTCATCAACGTTTCTAGCTCTCTATCTCTCTCCCTTCCTCTCTGTAAAAAAATCAATAAAATATATTTTTAAAAAAAAGGGGGGGGGTTTGTGTCTGATAAGGTTGAGAATCATTGTTCTCCAATAGCAAGACCAGCTACCTGCTTTAAGGGTTTACAATCCCCGGTGAAGACTATCTATTCTAATAAAAGCCTAAGTGGTGTCTCGCCCTCGTGTCATCACAAGATGACTGCCTCCATGTTGTCACAAGATCAGGGAAGGGCAGTTAGGGGCGATCGGGCCAGCAGGGGAGCAGTTAGGTGCCAATCAGGCCAGCAGGGGAGCTGTTAGGGGGTGATCAGGCAGGCATGCAAGTGGTTAGGAGCCAGCAATCCCGGATTGTGAGAAGGATTTCCGACTGCCTGTGGGATCAGGGCTAAACCAGCAGCCAGACATCACCTGAGGGGTCCCAGATTGGAGAGGGTGCGGGCTAGGCTGAGGAACACACACCCCCACACATACACACAGTGCATGGATTTCATGCACTGGGCCTCTAGTTCCATAATACAAGTGTAATTCCCCTATCTGACCAAACTCTCTCTGGTCTCCTTGTGTCCAAATCCTGCCTCCAGCCAGCCCAGGCCTCTCCCAGTCCAGCTCACAGCCTCTGCAATCAGCACATCTTCCTGCGTGTGAACCACCACTTGGTAGCTGGATTTTGCACCAGTTACTTAACCAATCAGAGCTCGGGTTTCCAGCTATTAAAATGAGTGCCCATACCCACACCCCATGGTGTTGCTGAGATTCAATGAGACATGCACGTGAAGCACAATCCTGGCATGAAGTACATGCTCACTAAATGTCAGAGGGTAGTGGTGACACCCACAATCTTCCCCCCACCAACCCTTCCTGTCCCAGGTTCATTTAAAGAGGTTTCTGTAAATATGCACTGACTGAATCAGAGTCAGGTTTCTCGGGCCCAGCTTACCACATTCACCATGCTGAGTGCCCTGAAGACATCATCTCAGCGAAATGGACATTTCCTAAATAGAGAAAGCAGCAAATGAATGACTGCGAAGGCAGGAGGCTCCCTCTAGTGGCACAGTTTATGTTATCTCGGGAAGAAAAGTGGGTTCTGGAAATAGAAAGCCAAGAAAGAACTTGGTGTAATTTTCAAGGAGAAAGACCAAACCAGGTGTGCAACTGAGGCAGCAGCAGTGAGGCCTGAAAGATACAGTGGAAACTTACTGTCGCCTCAGTGGACCAGCTGCTATGCCTCTATTACTTGATTTTACCCCCCAGGAAGCGGCTTGCTCAAAGTCAGGTAGAGCTGAGACATGAACACAAAGTTAACAACTACAAATCCGGAAATCTCTCCCCTCAGGGACAGTAAACCCCTTCAGAGTAAGAACTGGGGCTTACACGTTTTACAGTGTTCACAGTACTTAGCACAGGGTTATGCATATACTATTATATATACATATATATATATATATATATATATTATTGGATGAAACCAATTATTTAATGAAATAATCAACACTTATAAAATTATAACCGTGCCCAGCACTGTGAAAAATGCTAATAACACATTTCATTTGTTGCTCACAATAAGTATATGAGGTAGCCTAGTTTACAGATAAGGATGTTAAGTTTCAGAGAGGTTAGGTAACATCCTAAAATATAAAGCCTGGCCCTTCCAGCATGGCTCAGTGGTTGAGCATCTACCTGTGAACCAAGAGGTCATGGTTCGATTCCCAGTCAGGGCACATGCTCAGGTTGCAGGCTTGGTCCCCAGTGGCAGGCATACCGATCAATGATTCTATCATCATGGATGTTTCTCTCTCCCTCTCCCTTCCTCTCTGAAATAAAAATATATATATATATTTTTTAAAAACAAACAAAAAACAAAAACAACGTAAAGCCTGGGTCTACCCCTAGCACACCTCATCCACTCAATCACGAGTTCTCAAACTGTTTGGTCTCAGGGTTCCTTTACACTCTTAAAGCTTACTAAGGACCACAAACAGCTGCTAATACATATCGATAGTTAGTTATTAGAAATTAAAATGAGCCCCAGGAGGTTTGGCTGAAGGGATAGAGCATCAGCCCAAAACTGAAGGGTCCTGGGTTCAATTCCAGGAAGGGTATGTACCTCCATTGTAGGCACAATCCTGGTCACGGTGGGTGCAAGAGGCAATCAATCAATGTGTCTCTCTCACATCAATGTTTCCTTTTTCTCTCTCCCCTTCCCTTCCACTCTTTCTAAAAATCAATAGAAAAATACTATCAGGTGAAGATTAATTTAAAAAAAAAAATTAAAATGGGAATTTAAAAAATATTTAAACATTGCAGTAACAACCCTTTCTAATTTTAATATAGTTAACATGTTCATAAAAAATAACTCTTTTCCCAAATAACATTCTAGTGAGAAGACTGATGTTGTTTTACATTTTTGCAGATTTTTTTAATATCTGGCTTAAAAAGACAGCTGGATTCTCATCTTCACGTCTGCATTCAATCTGCTGGGAAATCACATTTCACACAGCTTCTACGAAACTCCAGGATGCTTGTGTGAGAGAAGGGTGTGAAAATGGCAAATAACCTTCGAACTACTGTTGAAACCGTCTTGTCCTCACACACCCTGAAAGGGTGTTGAGGAACCCGGAGTCTCCAGCCACCCCTGGGGAAGCACTGCGCTGTCACGCTGTCTACAGGGCAAATGAAAAGCAAGTGCATCCACATGAAACCTTCCTAGTGGCTCCTCAAAACGCTGCTTCTTGCTCTTTTCCTCCATTCTTGTTCTTCTCCTGGCAACTGCATGTCTTCTCAGCCACCTTTTCCTTCCTCCGTGCCCTGATGCAGCCTGTCGGGGCAGTGGTGAACCTGGAGACAGACTCCCAGGAGCAATGAAAGGGGCTCTGTCTTAACCCTGGATGCCTCTCTCTAAAGACCAAGGAGCATAAACTACTAATTCTCAATTGTTATTCCCTTCCAAGTAAAAGAACGGAAAAACCCTCGCTTAATTTCACCCAGGCTAAGAAACCTGGTATTGGGAAGGGATACTCCCATGATGTTCCATTAAAATAAATAAATGTGTCATTCATAGCAGTATCCTAAAATACAGTCACATACACACCGAGAGGAAACCCTGGCTCCCCGGCTGGCATCCCTGCTCGTCACCAACCCTCCCCTGGTCTCTCATCCCCATCCCCAACAGGGATCCTCACAGCTGCTTCCAGACCGTGCTCCCTCTCTCAGCCCTAAAACCCCGGCTGGAGTCTCAGGTCATCTGACTGCACCTCCCATTGACGGTCTCACTGCGAACAACCAGGGCACTCATTCCCTTTCCTCCTTTAAGAGTTTGGCTCTAGTACTGCACATAAAAAAAGTTAAAACAGGGACTCCTTTGGGGGTCTAGAACAGATTAATTTAACTTTCATTCTTCTTAATGGGAAAAAATGATTCAGCTTTCGAACAAACTGCTCCTCTAACAGCCTTCCAGAACAAATTAAGTTTGAGAACCAAGGTTCCACTGTAGTGCTGAAAGTGATTCGCTTAAGGCTAGCAGCGGGTGGTTCGATGAATTTAAGAAAACAAGTGCTTGTTTATAGACTGAACAGTACATTCGACATGTTTTGTATATAAGAAGGATTTAAAACAGGGAATCATTTGGGGGTATAGAACAAATTCAGCTCACATTATTTCTGATGGGAAAAAATGATTTGGCTTTTGAACAAATCATTTCTTGAATAAATTAAGTTCAAGAAGTGAGGTTCCACTGTAAAAAGAACAAGCCATAACGAATGCCTAGCAATAGATACTTAATGAGTTTGAAGTGGCTTTTCTAATTAAGAAATCTAATAATTGTCACTAATTAATGGCCACAAAAAGACAATACACATTAAGGGGTATAAGTTTCAAGGAAAATAGTGACAACTTCTAAAATAAGCTGTTAAAACAAACCAAAGGGTTTTAAGGTAAATTTTCAAATCAGACAATCTTCTATTGTCATATTATAGACTCTTGGCTATGAACACTTGTACAAGTTTTTACACCATTTTAAGCAAATTACAAATAACAACCGCAATAGTAAGAAGAGTCTGTTAAAGAATGTCTTTATTAATACAAATTATTAATACATACAAACTATAAGCACTAAGAAACTTAGATCTCTAAGTCATAGCAAACAGGTGGCAATTCAACATCCAGTGTTGGCAGAAGGCTTGAGGGAGACTGGAACGGATCTAGAAAACAGGAATTTCTTAGACAATACCTGCAAACTGCCTTGACTCATTGTCCATGTCAACATGGACATTAGTTGTCACTTCTAATCATCAACTGTTTTTCCCTTTGTCCAGTGAATCTCTATGTCCACCCCACCTACACATATACACACTCATTTCCTGGAATGTGGTTGTGGTCCCAGAATTAACCAATATTAGGAAATGATTCTTAGAAGTTCCTGAAACTATCGTTCTTATTAGAGATCCAAGTAAGAGCCAACAATATGGCTAATAAAAATGTATGAAACAATGTAAGTGTCTAAGTTAACACACAGAAAATGTACTGACGGCTACTGACTGCCAGTTTGAACCACGTCCGCAAACCTGGTGCAGTGAGGAGGTTTTGCCATTCCTTGGTATTGCACAGGTGTCTTGATCCTTCCCAGGTAACTTGGAATTCTCATTCCAAGCAAGTTTATTATACTTCAACTTACAACCTAAGAAATTATATGTGAAGTTCAACCTTATTTGGCTATATCTAAGGCTCTCCAGATTCCAGAATGACTTGATTTTACCTGGGCATTTGGAACTAAACAGCAATACCAACGGAGAAGGGTTTTCAATATTCTGAAACCTTACCCTGAAGTCTGAAGGACAGAAATGTCTTGTGGACTAACCCCCCACATCACTCTGTCCCCACGGTAATGCAAGTGTCATGACACAAACTGTCTGCGGCCCTTCTAGGAGGGTCCTTGCTCACTTACCAGACTCCCAGGGCAGAGAAGGAGCCTTGAGGGGTGAAGGGGGGCCCAGGTGTAACAGCTTTTCAAGTTTCCTCTCCTCGTCGAGGATCATGAGAGGCACTCCACTCAAGGGGAGCTGTGCGATCTGGTGTTCTTCAGGCAGGTCGAAGCTCTCAAAATCTGCCACAAAGAGAGAGGATTTCATCAGGACAGAAAGTCTCAGCGCGAACAGTGGACTTCTGGGAGTCTGAGGCCCTTTCAGCGGGTCCACAAGGTCAAAGCCACTTTTCTAATAACATGGACACCTTTCCCCCATGGCGCTGACACTTGCAATTGATGGCACAAAAGCAATGGCAGATAAAAATCACTGTGCCTTAGCGTGGACCCAGGCAGGGGCCAGACACTGTATTTAGTAACCCTACTACTCCTCTCTACCATTCACCTGCAGCAAAAAGTGCCAGCTTCACACATCTCTTTACCACATGCAGTAAAAAGTATTAATTTTCTTAGCTTTCGATCTTTGAGGTCATGTCTTTTTAATATTTTGTAAGATAAAATGAGACGTATGTCAGGAACCATCTGCTGCC